GTAGCAAGGAGTCCACTTGACCTCACTACAAACCGGCCTGTAGCTACATGACTCTCCAGTAAACTTTTTCTACTTTTCCTTTCTGTGAGGGGGGTGGTCCAAGTGATCGTTAGGAAGAGTTCTTATTGTGCAATAATTGATTTTTATCTATTTCGCTAATATTATAGGCAAAGCAAAGAAATGGTATTTGAAATTTTGTTGAAAATAGTAGTAGTTTTAATAAATATTTTTTTATTTATATATTAAAAATTTTGTACAATTACAATTTTTTGTAAATATTAATTTACTCAATAAATATTACTCAATAGTAATGTAAATTAGAATATACAATATATATTTATTTTATATAAATTTTTCAAAGTACATAGTATAGTCTATAAATGCGTGTCCCTCTTAGAGTACCACGTTAATATAATTACGAAGATGAATACAGTTATAAAAAAACCAATTGCATATAAATTTTTGATCCAGCTGTAACTTCCAGTTAAATACAAGTTAAAAGTAAAAAACTGAAATTAAGTTGAAAGAGAATCATTATATACTAATATTACTCTTAATCTTAAATAGACAAACCTCTAAAGACATTGATTCTTCTAAAAGACTTTGTTTCACTATGTTAGCTACCGTCTTAAACATTATGCAAAAAGCCACTTAATTTTTCTTTTTTGAAGTTCTAAATTAACTCTTAAAAATAAGTTAATTTCCAAGATCGATATAGTATTTTAAAGATTTCAAATTGCACAGGTTATAATAATAACTCAAAAAGCAGAAAAGTTACAAACAGCATATGCACATACGTATTGTATAAGTTCATATACAAGACCCGGATCTGTTTCATTCTGCCAATTTTTAAACCCTTTAGTAGACTCTGGTTTAGTACTTGCTCAGAAGTTTTCTTATTATTCTTTATATGCACGTTATTAAAGTGTGGTTCCAAGGGCATGTACTTAGAGAGGTCTGACTATATCATGAAAAGAAGTATAGTATTTATAGTAGGTATGAAAAAAGCCATACATATGTACGATAGTAAGAATCTGATTGGGTGATTATTTGTTCTAGAAATATAATATAATTTTTTTTGTGTTTGTGTAACTGGGAGAAATTTAGGCTAACTGGGAGAAATTTAATAGTATATATAAGTCACGTTTTTTATAATAATATTATTTCTAAAAATATTACTACCATAAATAGAAGGTTTTAGTTTACAAATTGCCAAATTTTAATAAAGATTGACAGTAGCTTCGAAAACTTTTATTTGTAATATATTTTTACTATGTATATAAAATCCTCTTGTACCACTAAGATCATATGAAAAATGATCTACATTCCCCCTACCCTTAATTAGTGAAAAGTATTTTTAATCGATCAATCGAGCTTGTCATTAAGGTAGTTTATTACATGAAAAAATAGAAAAAAATGATCAGAGTTTACCATTTCAGTCAAAAAACCTTTTGCCCTAAACCACCTTTTTTTTTTTTGCGCTAACTTATCAAAACTTTATAACTATTAAAATAAATAAAGTATCGCACAAACGTTTTCATACATTTTATTATGGATTTTCATTACCTACATACATTTTTTTGTAAAATTTACGATAAACTATTTAGAATCCTCTCAAGCAGTTATTGAGATCTTTTATTTTTGATCTATTGTTACAATTGAGCATCACTACAATTATTAAAAATCATAGTAATAGTAATACTTGAGCATATCTCTATATTGTATAATTGACGAATGTTATGATAATAGCTAAAATTACGGCATAATACTTGTGTATTTATAAACTAAATTACTATCATTATCATCGGTATTTTTTATTTCTTCACTATTAACTTGTTACAAGCCTTTCTAGTTTGCTTTGAAATCGTGTTAGAATGTGAAATAAGCTAGGTATGCGTACAATTAAGATTGCATCAAGGTTGATATTTGTGAAAATCCTTCAACGGAATTGAATTTTTGCACCAAAGTCGGTTGACTAAGGTGCAGAAAAACAAGGACAGAATATTTAAATTTATAAATATATTTACGAGTAATCTCAGTAGTGTCAAAAGCAACTCTAACTGCTATATAGAAGCCGAGTATATTTCTTCTTTTGCCTTTCCCCTATCACGTCTCTTCTTCTTAGCTTTTTTGGCTTTTTTTACCTTTTTTGTTTTAGAGTAGCAGGTGTCAAAGAACCAGCCTTCGCAGGATTAGCACCATCTGTAGTCAAGTGAGCAAATATTTTTAGTATTTTTGTAGTAAAAACATGCCAAAAAGGTATAAAATGGGTATCGACAAAACCGTGTCTATCGTGGTGGTGGTAAAAAAAAAAACTTTAATCAAAGGAGTAGTGCACGCGAATAAGTGATCTATTATTGAACATATTGTAAATAGCAATGAATATATTAAAAAAAAAAATTAATTAATGTGAATATTCCAGGAAAAAAAGATGACCTTATATACTATAACATTTTTTTTTTCTGATATTAAATAAATAAATAAATTAAAATTAAAATTAAAATAAAAATGCTGGCTCATAAATACTGTCTTCAGATAATATGATGAAGTTTCTTCCTCTTCGGATGCCTCTTTGGGTGCCAAAGAGGTGACGTCAATACAGAAGCCTACTTAATCTTTACTTTCTGGCACAAAGACTTTGTTTCTAACTAAATGGTACAATATTTTTCATTGTCTCTACGTGGTGTAAAATTTGTAGTCATAGGGTCCCTACTTTCTAGTAAATAATTAGAATAAAGTTCATCCGCATACTGTGGGATGTATGATTTGCACCTGCACAGTATTTTATCATATTGTACAATACGTAGTAAAAATAAATAGTATCAATCTTAACCTCATCGGAAATTTTTTTAGTGCAGGTTTGCAATTTTCTGCGAAAATGCAGATTTTTGCAGAATTTTTAAATTTGATTTGCAAAAATAATAATTGCAAATTTTTACAGATCTGTAAAATTCGGCAAAAATGCAGATTTTTAAAAATCTGCAATTTTACTTAGTGTTTTGCAGGTATTTTTGAAGATTCGTACCCGGTCCAAATATCGATTCAGATCTAAATTTAGGGTCCAAACTCGTATCACTTAGATCCAGATTTGTGAAACTTCAAAATTTATAGATGCTATAGTTGACGAAGCTCCAGTGTCTTTGCTAAAAAAAAAAAAAATGTTTATGGCTGTTTTATAAATTCTGTGACACTTGATAAAAATTAGCCGAGTGATTTTCATTAACCCATGGCAAAGCCACAGAAAGGTTGTAAAAATTTTAAAATTTTATTTTTAATATTTTTATAAGGCCATATAAAGTTAATTTTTCGGTTCTTATAATATGAACAAAAAAAAATAATCTGCCCACTTGGATTTTTATTAAAGTTTTAAAGTTTTATTTTTAATAAAGCTATGATCCGGAAATACATAGGTCAAATCTATAACAATAACAGTAAGAATTCCTGTTTATTTTGGGTTAAGCCGGTTTTGTATATAAAAAAAAAAAAAATATTAAGTATTTAAAATAAACTATATTTTCAAGAGTATTATATTTACCATTTATATTTTTACTTTAGATTGTATGTATAAAGAACACTAAGATATACAAGTTTATTAATATTTGCCATTACATTAATTTAGTTGGAACATTGATTAATATAATTAGCTATTTAAGTTCATGAATTATTATTAATTTAATTAGAGTATAAAGAGCATTGGTACAGTATTTAAATAAGCATATTTGTGCTTATTAATATTTACTATTTAACCTTATTATTAGGTTAATTTAGCATGTATATGAAGAAGGTTAATTCTATATTTTCGGCAACCTTGTTGGGTGAGGATTAGACAAAAGTTGATTAGGCATAACTTTAGCCAATCGTATGAATTTCTTACCACAAATGACCGAGTCACCTGGGTTACTTGAGTCACTTTATAGCTGTTTTCATAAATTCTGGAACAACTGAAAAACTACCGATGACCGAATCGATAAGTTACTGAGTCGGAACCAATAAGTAACAGATTCAGAAACTTATCGATTTGGCCATTGGTGATTTTTTCAGTTGTTCCAGAATTTATGAAGACAGCTGTAAGTAATCCGGTTTGTAACCCGATTAATAAATTATAAACGGGTGAGTAAACCAGACAACCTCTAGGTTCGTCATTTGTGTTTGATTTTTTATTTTTTATTTACTATCAGTTTCTTTTAATATGAGCGGATCGTGCTTGTTTTATGATATTATAATTGATCACATTAAAATAAGTGATTAAATTCAGCTTATTTAATCATATCTAAATTGATTAGATTAAAATAAGCTAAATATCATACATAATCACAATTAGACTATCTTATTGCAACATAATCATATCTAGATATCACAAAATAAGCACAATCCGCCCATATGTTGATAGCGTATTTTCACTTTGTGGTATTGTCGTTTAGTTGATACCTTGGCTTCACCGGTGTTATTGTTATTGGTGCCATATTCTCTCATCATCATCATTGTTTCTTACTTGGTACTGTTTTGATTAGTAATGTCTTCCGACACTCAGCTTTTGCTAGTAACATTGTTTGATTAATGGCATCTTTTGATTGCTAGTAGCATAGTTTGGCATTGTTATATGTTGGTGCCTTTGTTCGATTAGTGGTGTCTTCTGGATATTCCGCCTTTGCTGGTGCCTTAGCTTAGTGTTGTATTTTTATAGTACTTTTCTGGTGCTATCGTTTTGTACTGTTTGTTGGTTATTAATGATGGCTGGTGGTAGGTTTTCTTGGAGTGACTGCAGTGGGTTTTCATAATATAACTACCTGACATGGTTAGGGTTAGCGGTATGATTAGGGATCCGTATTATTTCACCGACAAGACACCATATTTTACTAACAATTATTCACCGGCAAGTTCATTTCAACGACTTTATTTCACCGAAGCTTATTTTACAGACAAAGTAATTCTGGTCAATATTATTAGGTCAGGCTAGAATTAGAGTTAAAGTTAGTGTAATTTATAAAAAAGATTA